GACGTTTAGGCGGTTTGTTTAATTGTTATACGTGATGTACGTTTTTGTTTTTTGGAAATGAAAGTGTTCCAAAACGCGACATTAATTTCTTGACAAGCTAATATGAATTACCAGAATAATTTAGCTCAGCTATCTGTATGTTGTATTAAGTCCTCGTTAAAGAAGATACACAATACCATTATAAAATTCGTTGACAAGTATGATTTCTCGGGTAGATCTGTATAAAGATTTATATACGCATGTTTATACGATTTCATTCTAAATCCATGACCATTCTTTTCTCTTTTCTGACCTTTTTAAGATGTAATATAATATAGATGCTCGTAAGGTTTAAATGTAATTGTTAAATCTAACTATAAATTTTTGATAGCGCTCAGTCACCCAGCTTGCCATAAAAAATGTATTAAAATGAAAGTGTATACAAATCAACAATAGCTTTAAGTCACCAATGATGTCATTGTCTGATCACAAGTGACTTAACCTTACACTACACGCACAGCTTTTGTTTTTTGTTACAGTATAGTTTTTTTTTATTGTTATGAGGTAATATTTTATATTATAACTAAATTCTAATGTTAATGTTGACGAATGTATAAACAGTATGGAGAAAGCCAGAATCCATTTCAAACGAATATGTTTTCAATCTATTTAAACTCCTAATGGCGCAGCAGCAAGTTTGAAGACTTACAAGGCTAAATATTGGTGTTTGATCCTTGCGGGGCAAATTTAACAAACAAACAAATATATATATATGTATATATATTGAAATGAAAACTGGAAGTCAGGCTCATATCTCCAGTTTTGAGCTTTCATACTGAAAGCATCCTTAAAAAATTAAAAAGAAAAATGTAATCTATAGAAGTTAAGACTATTATGCATAAGAAAGCGAGACTACTTCATATAATGGTATAAAAACAAATGACTTCAGTGTCTGTATATGTGAAATGAATCTGCTAACTTAGTATTAAAAAGTTGTGTATTATTTTATTAATGAATCACACATTGGCTGTAGATTTGTATGTTTTATTATATACATCTTAAATCAACTGCATTTATATTTTCTTATTTTTTTAATCATTATACAAATTTAAATAGCGTATATAAGCTTATATTTAGAGCTGATAAAATCAATTATCGTAATTATTCCAGATCTATTTGGTAAAGTGAACTACTGGGTTATGATGACAGATTACGATAACTATGCTGCAATCTGGTCGTGTCGAAGGATGTTACTTGGGCACTTTCAACATGCAGAAATTTTGAGTCGTTCACCGACGTTAGACAAGGTAATTTTAAACAAGATCCGTGGTCGTTTTGAAACTTATGGGGTCGATGAGCATCAGTTCAGCGTCATAGACCAGGAAGATTGCCAAGATCAGAAAGATAGAAACGGCGTGGAAATATCTTTATTAGTAGACAATATATTTGATAGGTTCAGGATCTGAAAGAAATTAAATTACCTTATATTTTAAGTTTCTTTTCTTCGACTTTGTAGCTCATAATAGTCGGATTGAAAAAGACTTGAACAGGTGAAATAGGAGTGGTTATTTAATCAATAATTCGGAATGTTTATCATTTTGTACAGCCACTGCCTGCTTTTATGACGGTAAAGTATGCCTGCGCCCACAAGTTGTTTTTTCAATTGTATAAGCCAGAAATACAAAACTAAAGCAACATTTAGTACCGTTTAGCGATGATTCGTTCAACAACCATCCATGTACTTAACAGTTTATTATAGCTGCTCAGTATTATTTTAATGTGACAACATGTTTTTGTGATTTTATATAAAGATGATGTTATTAATGTATATCGTGATGTTTTCACTTCCACGCTGTAACCTCGTAACACAGCCAAATCTTAGATGATTGATGCTGATAATAACTTTTCTGTAGGAGCTGTACGGATAGATATTTCTAAACGATAAGTCGTCTTTCTAGGTTCCATTTTGTGTTAATTTTAGACAGAACAGTGTGAACAGATGATTTAATATAAATACAGTAAAACTTACAATAGTTTGATACTATCTTAATGATTAGAGAGAAATGGTTGCAGTAAGAAGATTGTTTCATTGGACTGGAAATTGAGTTCAGATTTGTAGGGTGCTGTTTTATGCTTGAGGCTACCCTAAAAGCCCTCGTTCTTATTCAGCTTCGGCAGTTACATGCGATATGCCCCCAGTGGCACAGTGGGATGTCTGCGGACATACAACGCTAGAAACCGAGTTTCGCTACCCGTGGGGGTCAGAGCACACGTAGTCCATTGTGTATCTTCGTGCTTACCTACAAACAAACAACTACATGCTATACAACTTTTTCTTTAAAAGATGTTAGATAACAATGAATGTTATTCCCAGCCATATTTTATATGGTATCGCATATCGATTTTGACTTAATTAAGATGAATCATCAGATTTTACTTCTCGCTTAAGTAACCATGCACGATGTAAGCACGTGTCAGTTAAAGTTTTAGGAAACAGTACCAATACAAGTTTAACCAACATTTAGAAAAATTATAATTTCGAGGAAAACTAGTTTCTAATGCATACGCGGACACACCCACAGTATATATTTATATATATAGTTACAGCAAGACACACATTTCAAATTAATAGAAAAATATATGTGTATATGTAGGATTATAACGATTAACATTGTACATTAAAAACATAAAAAATAATTACAGTTAACTCAGTTGGGGTCATTTATTAAATAAAGTTTATTGATTGGTGGAATCAATAAAAAACTAATGCCTTCAGTTTAGATAGCCCCCAGTAGCACAGCGGTATGTCTGCGGACTTACAACGCTAGAATCCGGGTTTTGATACCCGTGGTGGGCAGGGCACAGATTGCCCAATGTGTAGCTTCAAACAAACAAACAATTTAGATAATCCATACATTCAAAAATCCTATAGTTGTACATTGCGAATCGTGTTGCCACTAATGGTTTGATATTCTAAAAATATTTTTGTCCATAGCGTTGATTGATGTACTCTAGATTTTAGTTAAAAACTTAATTATTAATTTCTAATATTGTTTATAGAAAACTTATTCTCTCTAAATGTGTGCTGTAGTAGTAAAATAAAATGATTTTAGTGAATTCGATGAGACGTGCAAGCATTCACCGTCTGTTTGTTTCCACTAAAAACATATGTTACTAGGGAGAATCCTTAGAGAATAAAATTGTAATAAAACCAAAAATGTTATCAACTCTTAAGCTACTTAATATTTTTAATAATTTGGTGCAATACTTAGGAATTTATCTTACATTTTCAATTAGAAATAGCTCTGTAAAAACAACTTGGGAGATTTTTTTTTCATATTTATTTAGATAGCTTTCACGTTAATTAGTTGGTACAACAGATTACAAATATTTATAACATAAATATCTAAACTTAAAAAATTCTTCGTAGCCTATTTTAACTCTGCAAATTAAACCTTTTTGTATATAATAGATTCAGTGTCACTATATACATACATACGTAACTAATATAGATGCTGTATAAGTAACATTTACAAGCAGTCTTAATATTTCTACATCTCAAACCTATGGAGTATTTCATTAATTTTATAAATTTCTTTTAATTTTAAAATGTTTTCCATACGACTTTACAAATGAACTTAACAGGTAATCATACAGTCAATGAATAATAAATGTTTCATAAAATAACAAATATTAGACCAAAAACATTTAAATGTGTTTTCGTAAAAAAAAACAAAAAACAATGTGACATAAAATGAGCTTTAAAAAAAACAAAGACAATAGAAAGTTCAAACACAATGTGTACAGAATGAAAAATTGATAGGAAGGACTTACAGAAAAGACGACGTGGAGGGGTAAAGCCAATAACGCTAATAAAACTAAGAAAATAATAACTTAAAAAGTCACCCAGTGTGTCAGTGGTAAGTTACGGACTAAAAACTCTAAGCTCCTGTGTTCAAGTCTCTATGGTGGACAGAACGCAGATAAACCATTGTGTAGCTTGGCGATAAAATAAACGAACAATTACTTTAACACTTAAAATATATGAACTACAATAAAAGGTAAATGACAAAGTTTAGATAGTTAGAGTGTAAGTAATGGGCAAGTAAGTGAGAATAAAAAACAAATTATCAAGAATCTTGTAGTGCCTTGTAACGTAGTTGGCAAAGATGGAGACAGTAGATTTACTGGAGAAGATTCAACTTCATTTTAGTGACATCAACAAAGTTGGAATCACAATAAAATTAGTGGAGAAGGTTCTGTTTCCTTGGCTTCTAGTAAGTAACAATGATAACAAAACAAATGGTGAAGAAAACTATTATTTCTTTGCAGTGTAGTCAGTTGGCATTAAAACAGTAAAATTAGGAAACATTCTACTGTGGTAACCTCTTTTTTCTGTTACTTCTAAATAGGACTGACCCTAGGACCTATCGCACATTAATTGAGTGTTCTACCAACGCTACTGAGCTAACTTCTTTTAACTGTAGATAGCAAAGATAAACAAAAATTACTGGAAAAGATTCTAATACACCGTACTTTAGTCCATAAGGATGAAAACAATATAATTACTGGAGAATCTTTTACTTCACCGTACTTTAGTCCATAAGGATGAAAACAATATAATTACTGGAGAATCTTTTACTTCACCGTACTTTAGTCCATAAGGATGAAAACAATATAATT